CTGCTAGTAAGTGTGGGGTTTGCTCCCTATTTATATACAGTAGCTTGCCCTGCCAGTGTTGGTGGGGGTGTGGTTTTTCTCCTTGGTAGTTCCTTGATTAGGGTATTGTTTTCTGCTTGATTGTTCTGATGTTAATCCCTGCTGATCTGGGTGTTGGCTGCTGGAGGGGATGTGTTCTGGTCTTTGTGTTTCCTTCTTCGCTTTTTGTTGTCTCTTCTGAATGGTGTGTAAATATGGTTTATTTCTATGTGTCTATTGATGGCTGATTTGTCCTAATCCCAAACTTCCAGGAATTCCCTAGTGTTTTTTGATTTGGCTTGGTCTAGGATACTCAGAGTTTCCCAGTTGAAACTATGGTTGAATCTGTTCATGTATTGTAAGATTAAGGAGTTTTCATCGTGTCTTCTGACTGCTAGTTGGTGTTCATGGATGCACTCTGCTAGTCTTCTGCCTGTCTGTCCTACGTAGTGGCCATTACAGTCCTTATGCTGTATGTTGTAGATGACCCCTGTTTTTTCATCTCGGGCTACTGGGTCTTTTGGCTTACTTAAGATGTTTTGGAGGGCTTTCGTTGGTTTGTGTGCTACAGTGATTCCATGTAGCTGTAATAGTCTGTTGGTTGCTTCTGAGATGTTTTTGATGTATAGTAAAGTTATCTTTTTCATAACTTGTGTTGGCTGTGCTGCAGTGGATTGAGTGGTTAGGCACTTTTTGATAAAGCTGCATGGGTATTCATTTTGTTGGAAGATGTTGTATAGGCAGTCTGTTTCCTTTTTCTGGTTTTCCAGGTTGCTGTAGTGCATTTGTGTGCATCTGAATAATGTTCTTACACAGCTCCTCTTGTGGGAAGTTGGGTTGTTACTTTGGTAATGGAGCACTTGGTTAGTGTGGGTTGTTTTTCCAATAATCTTGTTTTTCTAATTTGCCACTGTTTCCTCAGCCATCAATAGACACATAGAAATAAACCATATTAATAGAAGAGAATATCTGTACGGTTGAACTGTGGAGTCCCCGGGGGGCTCTGAGCTTGGTTGTTTTCTTGCAGATGTTACCAGTCTAGGTATCATCTTCAGTGCTAGGTTCAGCTTCAACTAGCACTGAAGATGTTACCTAGATGGGTAACAAAACATCTGCAAGAAAACAACCAAGCTCAGAGAACCCCAGGGACTCCACAGTTCAACCCTGAGCTAGAGATATTCTCTTCTATTAATATGGTTTATTTCTATGTGTCTATTGATGGCTGAGGAAACAGTGGCAAATTAGAAAAAC